AATCACAAAAACCCTAGACAATAATCAATTACTATCACAATCACCAATAATCCAACAATATGAAATAAAGTTAGCAAATATATATGAATATCAAAAATCAAAGTGAGTAAGGAAATTGAAGTGAGTATACCAATGCTTTATGTGGGTGTAAAACCCACAAATGAACTCAATCAACACTTCTTTGCACTTGCTAAACCTTTGTGCTTCACCAATTCCTCTTAAAGATTTAATCTTTGAAAACCCCCAATTTTGATTCTTGAAAGTTAGGGTTTGTTGGAGATGGCTATAAATTCGAATTTGAGAGGAAAAGGGTGAAGTATATTGATGAATATTGATGGGAATATTGATAGAAGGAGTTTAGAAGAAGAAAGGTTGAAGATTTGTGGGGTTTTGATGGAGATTTGAAGGTTTCAAAGGGGGTTTCGAATGGGGGGAGAGAGAGAGAGTGTGAGTGAGTGTGAAAGAGGAGTGAGAGGAAGAAGTGAATAAAAGGATTGAGCATGCCCCCTTTAATTCAGGAACTGCTCATAAGGCACGGACGTGCGGGATCTTGCACGGATGTGCCATCTGCCTAGAAATTCTTACACTGACGTGCTGAATGCTGCACGGACGTGCAGGATAACCCAGAATGCCTTCGCACACCACGCACGTACATGCCAAAAGTTGGACGGCCGTGCAGCCTTAAGCGCGGTCGTGAAAAAAGTTGCATGTCCGTGCAGCCTTCACAGAAGACTTTTAACAAATTTCTCACATATTTGCATGGTCGTGCCAAGCATTGCACTACCGTGCAGACTTCACAGAAGACTTTCCTTTTCCTATCTTTTCTCCTCTCTCTTTTCTCTTTTTTTTTCTTTTTTTTTCAATTAAAGCAAAATACACGGGTTGCCTCCTGGAAGTGCTTCTTTAACGTCATTAGCTTGACGTACTTCACACTTAAAAGGTGTGATTACATTGCATTAACTCAATCAAACCAACATGAGTACCTTCATAGTAAAGCTTGAGGCGATGCCCATTGACCTTGAATGACCTCTTTCCATCCAAATCCTTGAGTTCAACGGCTCCATGGGGAAAGACCTCTTTTATAGTGAAAGGTCCACTCCATCTAGACATGAGTTTACCGGGAAATAATTTCATCCTTGAATTGTAAAGCAACACCTTATCACCAACATTGAAGGTCTTCTTTTCAATTTGTCGGTCATGCCACTCCTTTGACCGGGTTTTGTACAAGCTTGCACAATCATATGCATCCATCCTTACTTCCTCTAACTCATGAAAATCTAGCCACCTTTGTTCACCCGCACTCGCCAAATCAAAGTTGATCTTTTTGATAGCCCGTTGAGCATGGTGTTCAAGTTCAACCGGAAGGTGACAAGACTTACAATATACAAGCCGGTAGGGGGTAGTGCCGATGGGGGTTTTGAAAGCGGTTCTATAGGCCCAAAGGGCATCATCTAGCTTGTCCGCCCAATCTTTCCTCTTTCTAGCCACTGTTTTCTCAAGAATCACCTTGATTTGGCGATTGGAAACCTCCGCTTGCCCACTTGTTTGTGGGTGATAAGTCGTACCGAAGCGTTGATGGACCTTATTCCTTCTTAACATCTTTTGAAACACATTATGGACAAAATGAGAACCATTGTCACTTACAACCGCTCTTGGGACCCCAAATCTAGGAAATATGACCTTTTTGAACAATTTCATCACAACTTTGTGGTCATTTGTTGGAGAGGCAATTGCTTCCACCTAATTTGAAACATAATCGACCGCCACAAGTATATATTGGTTCCCATTAGATGAGGGAAAAGGTCCCATGAAATCAATGCCCCACACATCAAACACCTCAAGCTCAAGAATCGGTTGTTGAGGCATTTCATTTCTCTTTGAAATATTACCTCTTCTTTGGCAAGAGTCACATGTTTTCACAAAACCCCATGAATCCTTGAAGATATAAGGCCACCACAACCCACTTTTTTTATTACTTTCAAGGCTGTTTTGTTGGCACCCATATGCCCTCCACAAGGATCGGAGTAGCACATCTTCAAAACACTCTTTACTTCATCATTTGGCACACATCTACGGAGTAAACCATCTACTCCTCTTTTAAAAAGGATCAGATCATCATATATGTAGTGCCTTGCTTCCCTTTTCAACTTCTTCTTTTGGTTCCTTGAAGCATCAGAAGGAAACTCCCCACAAGCCAAATAGTTCACCAAATCCGCAAACCAAGGAAGATCTTTTTCGGTCAACAAGTAAAGCACATCATCATTCAACTCATCACAAATTGGGACCCCATCATCATTATCTAGCATGTTTTCCAACCGGGAGAGGTGATCTGCTATAACATTTTTCGCCCCCTTCTTATCCCGAATTTCGAGATCAAATTGTTGTAAAGACAACACCCAATGGAGGAGGCGTGGTTTGGATTCCGTCTTGGCTACAAGATACTTAATAGCTGCATGGTCGGTGTAAACAATACTTTTGGAACCAATGAGGTAGTTCTAAAACTTCTCAAAAGCATAGACTACGGCTAGAAATTCCTTCTCCGTTGTTGTATAGTTGCGTTGTGCTTCATTCAAAGTTTTTGACATATAATAGATCACATGAAGTCTCTTGTCAATCACTCGCGTCACACATAAGTTCAAAGGGCAAATCCCATATTCGCCCTTGCACAATAGGAGTAGAAATCAAAGTTTGCTTTAACTTGTTGAAAGCATTGAGGCACTCTTCATTAATCACAAAATCAACCTCCTTTTGAAGAAGAGCATTAAGGGGCCTAGCAATTAGTGAGAAGTCTTTGATAAACCTTCTATAAAACCCCGCATGCCCAAGAAATCATCTTACTCTCTTCACATTGATAGGGGGTGGTAGCTTCTCAATTACCTCAACCTTGGCTTTGTCAACCTCAATTCCTTTGTTGGAGATCTTATGCCCATGGAAAATTCCTTCCTCAACCATAAAGTGGCACTTCTCCCAATTCAAGACCAAATTGACTTTTTCGCATCTAGCCAAACACTTGCCCAAATTTGTCAAACAATCCTCAAATGTAAGGCCACCAACCGAAAAGTCATCCATGAATACCTCCATTTCTTCTTCAAGCATGTCACCAAATATGCTCATCATGCATCTTTGAAACGTCCCCGGTTGATAAGAGGCGAATAGCTAGGTCGTTGGACTAACTACCCTCTACCAAACAATATTTATATACCTAAACCTACACTAGACAAGTCTAATGGTAAGTAAAGGGTCGATCCGCAGAGACGGCTAAATTATCATCACACTACCACCAACTAAGCTAGGTCAAGAAGATATGGGGAGTAGATTAAAATAAAGAGGAAAACTAACTAACTAAGGAAAGAGAAACTAAGAGGTAAAATCACTAGGGAAGGGGAATTAAGGAAATCAATGTGACAAGCACAAGCATAGCAATGAACATGGACATTCTCAATAACTTGCAAGGGGAAAATCTTAATCATCTAGGTCTCTCCCGAGCACGCTACACAATCAAGCACCCAATCTCGGTCGAGGCTCGTGATCAACTCAAGGGGTTCACTTCTACCTAAATAGCTCTTTCCCAAGCAACTAAATAGGATAGCAATTAGATCATGCATTCAACCGGCCAAAGCGAAAGCAAGCATTAAACACACCTCAATGAGCACAACCAAATCACCAAGAAATATACATACAAACCAATATACAAGCACTAATCAAACGCAAGCAAACAATCATCATTAATCTAATTGGTCAAGTCGATAATATGGAGAATTGCCTAACAACCTAGGTCACTCCCGCACACACTAGGCCATTAAACTCTCAACCCAGCCTAAAAGGTCGTGGTCAACTAAGCAATGAAATACTTCTATCAAGCTAGCTCACTCCCGCACAACTAACACAATAGCAATTAAATCATGACATCAATTGGCTAGAAAGACACCAAGCATTAAGACCTTCATTTTTAGTTCAATACATCAACAATTCCAATTAGCTCATCAATAAAGTGTTCATCTTTCTCATTAATCCCCAATTAAACCCTAACCCTAGCTAAGAAAATTACTCTAACTTAACTAAACTAGCAAAATCAAAGACATTAACACAAACTAAACTAACAAGAACAACAAACATTAACCAACAAAGAGGAACAAGAGAGAGACTAAGAATAAAACCCAACATGAAGAGAACAAATTATCAAAACTACTATACTAATCAAGCAATAACTAAACAAAGCAAGAATTAAAGAAAGCAATAAATGAGATAGAGTTTAGAATGCTCATTAGATTTATGAAGAGTAATCCAAAACAATGTCACTTTGCATCTTCATCTTCTTCAATCCTCCATTAAAGCTTCCAACTTTCTCTCTCTAAACTACCCTAAATCTACTCTAAACTACATTATAATGGATTAAAGCAAGGATTAAAACTAAATCTATAACTAATCTAAGCTAATCTAAGAGTTGAAGATGATGGAGAAGCTAGGGTTCTTCACCCCAAAGAGGAGAGAGGAAGATGACCCCCAAAAAATCCCCAAATCAGCCTTTAAATAGGGAAATAAATCGGTTGGGCTGACAGCGTGTGCGCTCGCGCAAAAGGACTGCGCGCCCGCGCAGGAAGCTTTGAACTAGCAGCAATCTTCAACTTCAAACGGCCATAACTTTCGTTCTAGGAGGCTTCTGGGGGCGTGCGACCTACCGTTGGAAAGCTCTCCAAGTCTAGTTTCCAACGCAACTTGAATGATCTCAATCTAATAAGTAGATCAAAATTTATGACCAAAAGAGTGAACAATAGTCAGGCTGTGTTCTCTATGCGTGAGAGGGCTCTACAGGGCGCACAAGGCATCTACAGAAAATTAGCTTGCTTGGTGTTTTCTTGCTTGCTCTTGCTCCTCTCATGCATGGGTGCTTGCTTTCCCTCTCCAAGCCTAGCTCCCTTTCTTGGCTTCTCTCGACCCTTAGCTCATGTTTTAGCTCTTCGAGTGGGCTCCAATTCTCGAGGTCTTGTTTTATCTCGGGGTCATCTCCAAACACCTACAAAACACGAGAAAAAGCCAATAAAAAGGAAAAAAGAGACAAACGGGGAAAGAACAACAAGAGGAAGCAAAAACACAAGAAAATGGATAAAAGAGGCATAAACAAGGGACAAATGCGGGAAAATACCATGATTAAGGGATCTAAATAGTGGCATAAATGTCACTTATCACCGGTGCATTGCATAGACCAAATGGTATTATCCTATAAGCAAAATTTCCATAAGGATAAGTAAAGGTTGTTTTCTCTTGGTCATTCGAGTTTATGGGAATTTGGAAGAAACCCGAAAAACCGTCGAGAAAGCAATAATACTTGTGCCTAGTTAGTCTTTCAAGCAATTGATCTATAAAGGGGAGGGGGAAATGATCCTTTTTGGTAGATGCATTTAGACGTCTATAGTCTATACACATCCGCCAACCGGTCACGGTCCTAGTTGAGATGAGATTACCTTCCTCATTCTCAACTACGGTCATACCCCCTTTCTTAGGAACAACATGCACGGGGGAAACCCACCTTGAGCTCGAAATGGGGATGATGATGCCGGCATCTAGGAGCTCGGTAATTTCCTTCTTCACCACCTCCCCCATTTGAGGGTTGAGTTTTCTTTGCCTCTATGGATGGCTTTGCACCATCCTCCAACGTTATGTGATGCATGCAAATAGCGGGACTAATAACTTTGAGATTATTAAGGGTATAGCCCAAGGCATTTTGGTGGTTTCTAAACACACCACATAACATTCAAGTTTGGTGTTCATTCAAAGATGCATTTACAATAACAGGAAATGTTGAATTAGGTCTAAGAAATTCATACCTAAGGTGTGATGGTAGAGGTTTTAGCTCTACCATAGGCACACACTTACCTTCCTTTGTAGTGGCAATCTCCATAGCATGTTTGGGTGTGATTCCCATGCAAGCTTGATCAACATTTCCTTCAACATTCTCATCAAGAAACTCTTCATACAACCCCATTTCCTTGCTTTGATGACCTATATTTTCCTTGTTTAACAAGACATTCTCAAGGGCATTGTTAGTAGAGAGCAAGTGCTCTTGCATAGAATTCATAATACAATCAATGGTGTCAATTTTCATGCATTTCTCTAAAGTAGAACTAGGATATTTCATGCTTGCATTCAAATCAAACTTAAGAACCTCTTCACCTACTTTGAGTGTAATTTTAGTACTTTTCACATCAATTAATGCACCAGATGTAGCTAGAAAAGGTCTCCTTAAAATGATAGGAATATGCACATCCTCATCCATGTCAAGCACAACAAAATCAACCGGTATAACAAACTTTCCAACCCTTAGAGGAACATCCTCTACCTTGCCCTTAGGGAATTTGATTGATTTACCGCTAATTAGAGGGTAATGTTGGTAGTCAATTAAAAGCTCCCCTATATTAAGTCTTTGGTAAACCGTATATGGCATAAGGCTAATACTAGACCCTAAGTCACATAAAGAATTGTCAATTTGCATTCGATTTATGGCACAAGGAATGGAAAAGTTACCCGGATATCCTAACTTTGGAGGCATCTTGTTCATTATGTTTGCACTACAACTTTCGGTGAGGTTCACCGTTTCAACAACATCACAATTTCTTCTTCCACTCAAAATATCCTTTAGAAACCTAGCATAATTGGGCATTTGTTTTATGGCCGGTAAAGGGTATTGAGAGGTGGACTTGTTTCAAGGTCTCTAGGAACTTACCAAATTGCACATCTAGCTTGTGTCTCACAAACTTATGAGGATATGGAAGTTTTTGCAATTGTGTTGGTTCCTTCTCTCTCTTTTTTGAACTCTCTTTTCTTTTTCAATATTTCTTTCATTTTCAACTCTAACTTCTTTCTCAACTTCATTCTTCGTTTTCACAACTTCTCTCATCTTCTTGCTCAAACTCACTCTCAAGGGAGGGCTCATTATTGTCACTCTCTCATTGGTTTTCTTTAGCTCACTCTCCTTCAACAACTTCCCACTCCTAGTAGAAATGGCATTCACCAGTCTCTTGGGGTCAAGCCCTTGGGGTGGAAGTTTAGAAGTGCTAGTTCCTTCTTTAATGGCATTGGCTAATTGGGAGAATTTGGTTTCTAGCATTTTGTTGTGAGTCATAACCTCATTGAACTTCTTGTCACTAGTGGCCATGAAGGTATTAAACATTTTGGCTTGGCTTTCCATCATCACTTCTGGGCTAGACTTTTATGGAGGTGCTTGAGTGTAATAATTGTCTTGTTGTGCTCTAGGACCTCTCACATTGGAATTAGCATTTTGTTTGTTAAAGCCTCTATTACCATTATTAGTTCAATTGTTCCGGTTATTAGAACTCCCCCTTGGTGGTATTGGCCTTGATTCCCATAATTTCCTTGATTATTATGGTTATGGTTACCATAACCACCTTGTTGGTTGTAGTTACCTTGGGGATTTTGGTCCCTTTGGTTCCTATCACCCCATTGGTTTTGGTTGTGGTAATCATATTCATTTCCTCTTTGATTGAAGGAATATCCCCCTTGCCCTCTTTGATTAGGTGGTAATATCTTTGATTGTCATTCCTAGGTCTATTATCATAAGACAAAGCATTGACATGTTCATTTTCAAGTTCATTACCATCCTTATATTGGGGTTGGGGTTGAGAATCATAAGTGCAAGAAGAGGTGTCATGATCATATGATCCACAATTTTCACAAAATCAACATCTATTTGGAATGTTATTAGATGTAAAAGTGGAAGGGTTAAAGCTCATACCTCTCCCCTTAGATTGGGAGGGACGCTTTTGGGGTGAAGAGGAGGACTAAAGCTTCGCCTTGATTGTTGTCATCTCCTTGCCAAGGTTGGCGATTTGAGATGTCAAATTATTGATGGCGTTGAGGTGATCAATGGAGCAAACTGCACTCCCTCCTTTGCTGGAAGACTCCTTCTCTCCTTCTTGCCAATCCATGTTGTGTCTTACGACACCTTCGATGATCTCAATCACTTGCTCTTCGGTTTTATTCATGATTGGCCCACCGGCTCCCGCATCCAAGCTTGTTTTGCCTTGAGGACTTAAGCCTCCATAGAAGATTTGTAAAACTTGGTATGTTGGGATTCCATGGTGAGGGCACTCTCTTTGGTACTCCTTATACCTCTCCCAAGCTTCATAGATAGTCTCACTAGCCCATTGCCGAAAACCTTGGATCAACGCCCTTGCTTCTGCGGTTTTCATTTGAGAGTAAAATCTTCCTAAGAAAGTCGTGGTGACCTCATCCCAAGTTCTCAAGGAATTGGGTCTCACCTCCTTTTCAAGCCATTTAAGAGCCCTTCTTATTAAGGAGAAAGGAAATAGCTTTAGTCTCACAAACTATTGAGTGACCCCATTCACCTTGATCGTGTTGCAATATTTCTCAAACTCGTTCAAATGTGCAAGAGGGCTCTCGTGTTTTTCTCCCCTAAATTGTCTCCTTTCAATCAAATTTATCATTGCGGGCCGAATCTCGAAATCATTGGCCAGGGTGTTTGGGGGAGCAATCCCACTTGAAGCTTTATAAGCTCCCGGAGTTCCCAACTCCTTCAAAGGTCTTTGAGGTGGTGGCTGTGGATCACCCATTTGGTCTTGTTGTTCCTCGAAGTTGAATTCTCTAGTTGGGGAAGTAGTTAACGGCCTAGAACAAAATCTCCTTCTCCTTCTTCTTCTAAAAGTTTGTTCAAGGGATCGTAAGGCACCATAATCTTGTTATGGGTTCTGCGCATACACACTCAACAAGTGCAATAAGTAGCAAGGCTACAAGTGTAGCTAAAGAGAAACAACTCTTTTTGTGGTTTTTTTTTATAATGAATTAGACTCAAGCAATCAATTAGCAATCAACAACACCGTTCCCCAGAACCGGCGCCATTTTTGACAAGCGCTTAATCGGTGGCACAATCTAGGCTAAGTCAAACACATTTATAACAAACACCTCTCTCAAACAAGTACAATGGCAAGCAAGGGTTTGGTCTAGGGAGAACGGGAGTCAATCGTTAAATAATCTTAACGCTCAAGCTAAATCGAAATCAAGGTGTAATGGTGATTAACTAACAAACTATAACTAAGGATTGAATTCAAGGGACTAAAGCACTAGGGGAATGGGATTCATTCAACCAACATCAATTAGGCAAATAGGGAGGAACAAGGATAATGGAATAGCAAAGACCACATGCAAGACCAACTTCAAACGATATTAAAACAACTCAAATCACTATTCTTAGATCCCTCATTAACTTACCAACAAAAGATACATAATCATATTGTAATAGGTAATGAAACATTCAACTCACATTTCCATGTCGAACCAAACATTTCATGCCATCAAGTTTGATAATCTAGGTTAATTACTCCTATCATGAAGAACTAACATGTAATCCCATATAATCCATTTTAATCACAATCCATCATCAAAATCACTCCCAAACTCACATAATCACCATAAGGTTGGGTTTCACCCAACACCTAGATAAGAAACTACTCACACATTATATTGAAAAGCACAAAATCAAAATCTAGGGTTCTATCTTGCTCAACAATCATCAAAGAGAAATTCACCAAAAAAGTGCTAAACATTCAACTAAACATAATAGGGACTAAGAGATTCAAATAACCATGCAAAATAAAGCAAACAAGAGATTAAGAGTAAAGAGCGATAAGAAATGTTACTAAATGAGAAACTTCAATAATCTTGGTTGCAATACTTTTCAAACTTGGAATAATCTTCAAAACAATTACAAAGTGTTTAAATTTGATTAGGAACTAAACAAATTCTAAGAAAAAACGTTTAAACCCTAAAGCACTATTTTTAAGCCTTTCTCTCTCTACCATCCCTCCTCATAAATGAGGCAATCAATCCATTTCTATTAGTCCAAAACAAAGGGGGCGGAGAAAACAAGTAACTGCTCTAAAACAGATCAGCACGAACGTGCCAAACACTATACGGCCGTGCAACATGGGCAGGAGATCTGGAAACTGGAGCTGGGTCCTGGCACGGACGTGCCAGGTATGGCACAGATGGGTCACATACAGCACCGACGTGCCACATAGTGGCACGGGCGTGCAGTCAAGGTAGAAGCTTTGATGTGATCAACAACTATCTTACACGGGCGTGCCACCATCATGCACGGCCATGCAGCTCCCAACACGGGCGTGCCAGTTTCTGCACGTCCGTGCAGCCTTCACAGAATGTTTTGCCAATCTTCAAACTTCTTTTCACGACCTTGCCAAGCATTGCACGACCGTGCAGAGCCCCAGGAGATCTTCAAATGAAATTCTAGCCTAGCCAAAGATACCTCAAGGCCATGACTTCTTACCCAACCATCGGGATGTCTCGTAAGGGTCTAAGCATACCTGAAAATGCATCAAAACACTAACAAAACCCGTGAAGCATGACAAATATGAAGAAAGTGCAAAAACAGAGCGAAAAGTGAGCAAAATAGCTAGAATATGGCAATAAGTGAACACTAAATCACCCTAAAACCGCGCACTAAAGGACGTTGTCACCATACATTTTACAAATAATTCAAGTAACAATACAAAACACGTGAAAAACTAGTTACAAAGTTAGGTGGTTAATCCAATTAACACGCCTGATTAAAACTAGTCAAAGTTGTTATCCGATTATGCGAATTAACGCAATAATAGCTTAAGTGATTAATGAAGTTCCCAATAAATTCCACATCTAACTTAATTAAAAAAATAAAGCCGATTAACCAAAAGTTTGTCAAAAAAATTGCAAGTACGTGAAAAATCGTGGCCTAGCCTCGTTTTAAACAACATCGCAAAACCGCAAGCCTAGACCAAAGCCTAGCCTCCCAAGCGCTCGGGTTTGGTGCTGCCTAGCAGCCCCAACGCACTGCTAGCATGTGCTGGGCGCACATAGCACAATAGTGATGAGTGACATTTATGTCACTCTTAGGGTAGTCTTTTCTAGTAGTTTTATTAATAATTTGGTTCATTCTAGTGTGCTATTGTTATGTTTTGCCTAATTCGAGTAGTCTACCTATGTGTTGCGTAATGTGTTTTTATATGGTTTAGGTAGTCTTTACTCTCCTCCCCCTTCGTTGTATTACGCTTTGACTTCCTATTTTGTAATTGCAGATTATTGCCGGTGATTTGGATTGGGAAGGAACTAGAGCAAGGATTGAAAACATTGCACCATCGTTTTGGCGCGGGCGCGCAACCTTAAGCGGGGGCTCGCCGTTGGGCGCGGGAGCGTGCTGAGCTGGCCCAATCCCGTTATACCCATATTTAGAGCGGGCGCGCTACTTTTAGGCACGGCCGCGCCTTTCTGCGACATTCCGAAACCCGAAATCAGATTAAAACAGCAAAGAGGAGAGAGAAAGGCAGCAATTTTTATTTTAAAAATTCAGCATACTTTAGAAGAGAAAAAAAAAGGCTTGTAATAGAAGTTGTTAAGGTAAAAACTCTTAGATCTAGTTTTTTAGCCAATGGGTATTGAAAATCCTTAATAGATCTTAGTGTAATTTTCTATTTCCCAAAACCTTAGTTATTTTTGGGTATTTTTGAAGAAGCTTTTTGGAACTTGAATGGGTTTGGTCCTCCTACTTAGTATTCAATGAAGTTGTTGGTATTTATGCTTAAAGTTCCTATCTTTGTTGGTTTAGTTGATAAAGTTATCATCTTTCTCATT